TTGGTAATATATATATATATATATATATATATATATATATATATATATATATATATATATATAAAACTGACTTGCTTATATTTTAAATATATATTTTCTCCTCCCACTTGGAAAACTAGGTTAGTAAATTAACAACACATGTGTGTATATATATATATATATAGCCTAATATTACTACATGGTGTCCAGCATGTAAACCCTTGAGTCACATGCCCTTATAAAACACTGTTATCTAAACACCTTGATCAGTAGACTAGTTTAAGATGGGTGTTGTCATCTGCTCATGGAGTCATTTGACAAGCTGCTTTTCTAGGCAATAATGTAATTTTCCTTGAATTATTCTATTATTCTATGAATTATTCTAAGTACAAACAATTGATATTTTTTGGATCTAGCCTAAGTGACGTAGCAGTTGTAAGGAACAGGATATGAGTATGACTTATGGGGGGTACTGAGATTAATTATCTTTGTATTCTAATGCATAGCGATACACATTTTGCAGGTGCGTCCTCTTCTCTGCAGTGCCTAGAAAAGACGGAAGTGAGTGAAAAGGCTGTAAAATGGATTGACAGCGGGTTATTTCCTTGAGTAAATTAGTTTTTATAAAAATGGACAGGACTTAATCCGTGTTGTTTATGGAGTGAGTGAGAAATAGTGAAATGGCTTACATACTAATTGTCTGTAATTCTGTAACCAGAGAAAAAGTGTGTACCGAATGTGAAATCTAGAGCTCCAGGTCAGACGTTTGTAGTGCAAACCAAGAATGTACTAAGCCTGCTGGATTTAAATGGTGCAGAACAATACCATCGCAGGTTTCTGTGTTAAACCCAGGTGGCAGGGATAAAATTAGTTCAGAAGAACATCATAAGTTCCTGTAACCCTGCATTGCTCTGGTAGCTTGTAAAATTCAAAGCATGGCTTTTGATAAAAGCCCTTGTCGGCCATTTGGTGACACTGGTAAGAACAAAGTAATTTCAGGCCAAAGGTTTGTTTGTCCTGTCTTTATATTTAGATAGAAGAACATAGAAACAACTCCAACAACTAAGACTGCTGCTCTAGAATCCAATTGAACACATCATGACATATTTACAGTGTCCCAAAAAGTATTTGGGTACTTAAGCTTCACTTAAAATGTCTGAATGTCTTGTGTATTAGATTACAAAATATCAGATCACATGGTATTTCTTTGTTTGAAGAAAGCAAGCTAATTTTTCAAGCTTACTATCTATTAAGAGAAAAACAAAAGTTTGTAGGATTTTAAATGTTAAAAGAATAGATTTGTTTAAGATGAAAAGAATAGTTCACCCCAAAATAAAAATTTCCTCAATTTCCTCACCCTCAGGTCATCCATGATGTATATGAGGAGAATTTGAATTTGGAGAAATTCACCATTACATCACTTGTTCATCAATGTATCCTCAGCAGTGAATGAGGGTGATCCAGTCCATCAATGAATGTCTTGTGAAGTGAAAAGCTCAGTGTTTGTAAGAAAAAAAATCATGATTAAGGCATTTTTAACTTTACACCGTTGCTTCCGGCTAAAATATCCTCTATACATAATATTGCTTTCTTCAGTCAAAAAGTCATCTCATCTGAATCGGGAGAGAAATCTGCACCAATCAAGCACCGTTTACAAGTGTTATGGATTATGGACTATATATTTTGGCCAGAAGAAATAGTTTAAAGTTAAAATCCCTTAATGAAAGCTTTTTTGGGGGAACTATTCCTTTAAGAGAAAATGTATTTGGAAAGTTTCATGTGTGTATTTAATGTGATGAACTACACCTGTGTGAACCTGAGCGCAACTAAAACTCTCATTGAGAAATAATTGCAAATATTTGGAAATATCAGCATCATATGTTTGCAATACCTTTTGATTTGATATTTTGTCTAATGCAATGCCATTTGGACGTTTTAAAGTATGACATGAATCTCCAAATACTTTTTGGGGTCATTGCAGCTAGAACTAGAGTTTTTCCATTTATGCCATGTTGGTTAGGGTTTGAGATGTGGGGTGTGTTGTGTATCAGGATGTCCCATATACGGAAGTGAGAGGAGTCCCTCTCTCAGTGCTGTGTCCCCAGAGGAACGTGCTCAGTGCGGTCTGGGGTCATGAGAAAACTAGTGGGCGACTTTCCCAACTCTCTTCTTGGCCTATTGCATTCTTGCAAATACACACACACGCATATGCATAATGACATCATAATCTATTTAAAAAAAGACGTACCATTTGCTCATGGAGTGATTTTTACATCACATGGCTTGTAGAGCCAATTGTCTTTTGATGTGCCGTTGTGTTGTCAGATTTTCCACGCATGATAAACTAAGACTAATATTTCACTATTACACACATAAAACCATTGAGTTCAGTAAATTCAGTATAGAAACACTGGCCTAAATTATTATTTAGAAAAAGCAGAAAATAATTATACTTTAGTGAATTTGTTTATTTTTATTATTGGATAAAATTATGATCAAATTGAGTCCTAGAGCAACTTAGAACACCAGTGTGTTTCCATCCATTTATCATTCAATTTAACTTGATATGGTGTAGTGGCAGGTTTTCGTGCTGTCGTGTCATTTTCGTCTCTACTGAGCTCATGCAGGGTGACGTTGTTGATGCTTTTACTCTGCTCTCTATCTGGTCTTACAGGAATCTGTGTAACGATTCATGACTATAGAGACTCTGAGATCAGATGCAGAGACACCTTCCTGTCAACTCTCGAGGGCACACACAGATTCTCACTCATAAGAATCTCTCAGGGGGAGAAACAGAAGGGCAGTTTAGCGTGATGTATTTCAGAGCGAACACCACTTTTCCACTAACAAACTACAGTCCAATTTAACCAATCCATGCATATTTAAATTAAGGTAAATTGCTATTTTTGGGGCATCTTTGCACCATTTCCTAATTTGCATAATTTCTTTAGTGAACGCTTAAACCATGCAGACAGCACGGGCAAATGGATGTCAGTGGGTGCAATTCATTTTTAATGAATTTCCATTGTTTCTTGTGAAGCAGACTTGAAACCTATTAATTCAAAATCATTTATTGCATACTGCATTCCAATTACCATAATAATGTTGATTCTCCTTACCTTGCAA